TATCAGTTAATCAATAAAAATGCTAATTCGTTTAACAAATGTTTTATAATAATAATTCTTTAGACGAACTTGGCACTTTTATATATATAAAAAACATGTACTATATATATATATATATATATAGTACATGTTTTTTAATCACAGCTCAGCACAGATATACGAGACGTGATATGTAGAATCAAATACAAAAGTTTGATACTTTTCAAATGGAAATTGCCTGACCTATAAAACTTTCATCAAACGTCCACACACTTAGCACACATTAACACACATTAGCACGCTCTCATATACAGATACTGCAAACATACTTTCGTATTATGAAGTTTTGTTATTAAGAGATAGCATATACATATCTCTCTTTCTCTCTCTCTCTCTTTCGATACAAAAGAAATTGTTCTTTTTGATTAAATTATTGATCATTCGAATCGATTTATCAAAAACGAGTTTTATCGTTTCAAGTATCGATAACGATACTGTTTAACATTATCATCCTATCGTAAAAGGAGATAATTTTTTCTAATATATTTTATTAATTTAAAAAAAGAAACAAATATAATAAAGACACGAAAGAAATTTTGTTTCGATCGATTTAACGATAATTATTAATTATTATTATTATCTCTGATATGTGCATTTTATATAAGAATTGAATTATCATCGTATAACCATATTTCTTATTAATTAAAAACAAATCATCTTTTAGACGAATATATTGGTCCTGAAGATATTTCTTTTTCATTTGAAAAGTATTTCGAATCATACTAGATACACTTAAGCCCCATTTTCTTATTATTACTATTATTATTATTAATATTATTATTATCGTATAGCCATTGGAGTATATATACGAAAAATCGATGAATATTATTTACATTTGTAGGCCTCTCGTATTAAAATTTAGAAAAGTGAAGGATAATGAAAAATAATTGAAAATTAATTACACGATTTGCGTTTATCATATCTTTACAATTTATCTTGGAATATTTTCTCTTTCTCTTTTTAATTTTTGAAATATAAACATAAAATAATATATCATGCCATTTGATTTTACTATTCGAACTTTAAGTTTTTTTTCTGTTTTATAATATATACTTCGTTGTATAAGATCAAAATGATAATTAATTCATCATTTAAAATGATAAATAAATATGAAAATAATAATCAATTCAAGAGTTCATTAAATATAAATTGTCTCCAATTGTTATACGATAATTATGAATAAAATATAATATTCGAACGACCTTCCCGCAAGTTTCCTGAGCTTTTTACGTAACTGTTACGTTAACGTTTATTAAAACGCTTAGAATTAGTAAATATTGGAGATCTAATTTGAAAAAAAAAAAAAAAAAGAAAAACACAGAGCACTATTTTCAAGGATAGAGATAAAAAATAATGGAATCGAAGATTTTTAATACTATTTAACGCAATAGCAATACTGTTTCATACCATGATTCAAACACTTGGCACTAGTAGCATAAAGATTAATTCTACTCACTTCATGATCGGACACGGTATAACTACCGTTGCTATTGTATCGTACGGTAAACTCAAATTTAGCGTTTCCCGGTGTAACTTGTATCATACAGAAATATCCTATGCTCATAGAATTCTTATCCTCGAAATTGATGATCTGATCAACACGGTGTATTTTTTTCAATTTCAATTTGGCGCACAATCTTTTACCATTCTTATCCTTGTAATCCTTAACGATATTTTCCATGTGATTTAAAAAACTGTCAACACCCCCTAGAACGATTTTATCATCGGGACTAGTCGTTCTGAATGCAGTACAGGCACACCAGTGTGGTGCAACTGCAGCATCCTGACAAGATCTTGATCTTGGTACTGGCTCGAACAAACTGTAACAGCTTGGACAACCTAAACCGAAATAAATATATATATATATGATATATACTTTGATTTTGATTTTAACTATAGTATTTATGTAATAAATTAATATTTATTACAATATTAATAAGTAAAAAATGTATTACATATTATTATAAATATTTATTACAATATTTATTTGGTAATGAATAATTTATTATTAATCAAAACAATTATTTTATATTGTTTTATTATTTAATATGAATAATGTAATATTATTATGTATTAATTTTATTTTTTTTTTTTATTATTATGTAATAAATATAAATGCAATCTCATTATAATTTATTATTATTATATATTAAATATATACCTGGAGAAACATCGGCATCTCCGCCAGATGTTAACAAAATATCTCTGAACGTTTCATAAAGATCAAAAGGTGATGTCAAACGATTTTCATTTATTTTTAAAGCCTGATAAGCGTCAGGATTTTCGTTACGGAACCAATCAGGTAACCATATATAGATAAAAGGTAATCTTTCTTCGTACCAACCAACAAACGTTTCTCTGAGACTACCCCAACGCATGCCTAAACATAAAAAAAAAACACATTTCCTTCTCTCTTCCTTTCTCTCTTTCTTCTCGTTATTTGAAAATTCATTTAAATTAGATTAAATATTATAATAATATGATTTACCGTGATCACTCAAGAAAACAATCATCGTGTCGTTAAGTACACCTTCTTTTTGAAGAGTATTCAATCTTTGATATATCTGAGAATCCATCGATGATAATTCATTAACGTTCTCGTGGCTTATAGTATTGGTCCAAAAAAATCCAAAGTATGGTACGTTGACAAAAGTTTCGGCAAAGTCCATAGCATAATTAAATATCCTATCGAAACTTGTTTCGGGACCGGTGCAATACTTCAAATTAAATCTAATTGTAAAATGTATAAATCGCGTATGAAATTGTACAAAATATGTGATTGTTCATACATTTATATTATATCTAATCGAATATATAATAATCCTTGAAGTGTTTCATAATAGAAAAATGTGATTTATAAAAATGAAGATACCTGTTTTTCGATTTAAGAAGTTTTTCACTTGCCAACATGTAAGGTCGTAAATAATAATCTGTAGGTGGTTGAACAAAACCTACTTTTAGATAATTAAACGTGTTCAATGCGGTTTCATCTTCGCCGTATGCAGTGACGTATCCTGCATTGCGAAAATTATACCAAAGAAATGGACAACGATCGAGTTTGTATGCTTCGGAAGGTTTACATCTGGTACGAGCTTGTTCTTGATTTTGACCGGTTAAAATAGCCATCAAGTTTGGAAAAGTATTGTCCCCCATTTTGTTGTATCCCTTTAAATTGATCCAACCTGTCTCACGTAGATACTTTTCTGTTTTTGGCATGCTCCTTTGAAAATTCAATCGGCTTACACTATCAATACCGAGAACTAGAATACTCAATTTTCTCATGGGACCATAAGTTACATTGTTATTCGTTGTTGTCAGGTTATCCAAACGATCATTGACTTTCCGTGGATTCAAAATGGCATGAACGTTTTCGTAATTGGTCAACGTTTTTCCTTTCTTCGTTTTTGTTTTACAAGTGACCAATACAACTTCAACGTCGTCCGGTATCGTTGCTTGCATTTTCAAACTTTCACATTGTTTAACTCTACCTCGAATTGATCGTACGAATAAATTAATTATCTGTATGTATATGTATATGTGTATATGTATTTACCCGATCAAATTTATATATCGGTTGAATCTAATTGAAGAAACATTACTTGTAATCATTACTTACGTAATCATTGAATCGAATTTATGCTTTATCGGATTATCAAAGATCGGTCTGATTACTGGCGACCAACAACAATTCATATTTTTATGATTAGCCATGACTTTTGGATCTAGGAGAAGGGTCACGGTATCGTTAGCACCTTTCGATATTCGCGTGTATAATTTTTCTTTAAAACACGCCTCGAACTTTTCCCTTTTAATGAACTTTACGATGGACGGATCTAAGGCGTCCTTCGATAACATATGACATTTTGGATTCCATACTAGGAAACCGTCCATCGTACCTGCAAATCCCGTTTATTATTTATTTTAATCATCATTTTTCAATCTATTTTTCTTTTCTACTAGTTACTTTTCTTCTTTTATACAAAAACAAAAAAAAAAAAAAGAACATATCTTATCAAAGATATTTTTGTTTTATTGAAATTTTGATCAAACATATTTTCATGACATCAAACTTCTGACTTATTTTTTATTTCCAATAATATATATATATATATCACATTTATATTATATTTGATAGAAATTGAAATCTAATAGAAAGATCGTTAAAGATGATTATTATTAAATCGTGACATTTGCAACTCACCATTAGTATCGTTGTAGAATTTGTAGGACGGATATTGAAAATTCGTATAATCGATGTTATCTTCGGAAACAAGATATAACGTAACAAGTACTAGACACGGAAGAATTAGTAAAACAATACCGGGTCTACTACAAAAGCACTCGACTAAGCGCGACAATTTAGGCTTGCACATCATCATCATCATATTGTTGTTAAATTCGCGTTTCCCCTTTCGATGAACAATCAAATGTCGTCCTTCGAATTTGGCTGACAGATTCAAACTCAGCCTCGTTTTTCCAATTGGAAATTACCGGTGGTGATGGTGATGGTGATGGTACCGGCATTTCCAAAACTTTTAACTTCAATATTCCACATTCCCTTTGTTCCACCTTGTTCTTTTTCTTTTCAAATCTCGATTTTTCCCATGAACGTTCATTATATTGAATCTCCTGGTATATTCCATATCTGTTTTCTTCTAAAGGCATACCAATCATTGAACGATCATCTTCGTGAATGATTATTTCAGGATTAGAAATAATTTTATTCTTTTGAATATTTTTCTCTTCAATTTTATCGAACGTATTTTACGAATACCTACTTATACGATAAACATTGTATAGAATTTTATGGAGTTTACTTTTTAAATATGAATGACTATGAAGACGATTATTTAAAGGGTTATATGCGTTTGGGACTTTCAAACAAATTTTTTTTTTTTCATTTTTTTTTTCAATTCTACAAATCATCTAGAATATTGTATTGAATTTTGAAGTCGATAGGAGTAGTAGTTTTAAAGATAGAGCCCTGGGAAGTTGCACTCTTTAATGGCTTTTATACCACCACTCAAATCTTTAAACGCGTTTTTCTCAAAACGCTTTTTCTAAAGTCGGTTGTCAAGATTTCTCGAAAACTATTTAACCGATTTTCATGAAATTTGCTACACGGCTTCGTGATACTATTGACAAGGACTTGGACGAAGGATTTTCGTTTTTTTCATAAAATCGAATTTTAAGAAACCAAAATGTGGTGAAAATTGTAACGAAATTTGAATGTTCTTGCTAAAAACGTTGCCGAAAATCCAAATTTTAATTTTTTTCTTTTTCCTTCGTCCAGTTTCTAGTTTTAAGTATTCACTAAAAGATCCAATTTTTTCAACAGAAAAACCCCCACCGTTTATAAGTTCTGCTGTCAACGCGAATACACTTTTTTTCGGTGGGGTCACCGGAAATGACGTCGCAATGGCTGAGTTTAAAATATTTTTCAAGCAAAAATTCAGAAAATCTTCTTTAAATATGTATCTTAAATACTGTAAAAAGTTTGAATAAGAATTCCATTTTTTATATAGAAAAAAAAATTGTTTAAAATATGCTATTTTTTCCCGATGTAAATCCATGTAACCCCTTAATTCAAACAGCAAACAAGTAAGCTACTCGAGTGAGCCACTATAGTGGCACAGAAATTTAAAAAAAATACTCGAAAAAGCCACTATTGTGGCAGGCCGGCTAAACAACATTTCCGTAATAGTAATGTTCTACCTTTATCTGATCGAAAGTTGGTAATACGACTTACCGCCTGAAAAGATCTGATAATAACTTACCATCAGAATTACTGACAGTAGAAAAACCTTCAGCGCAAAAAAAAATGAATAAGTGTTCTTAATTACTCACTAATTGATCATTTAAAATCCATAATTGCTCGCTTTATTGATTTGCTTAGAAATAAGAAAAAACGTTTTTGTATTTTCAATTATTAATAACTAATTAAATAATTAATTAATAAAGTGTGCAATTATAGATTTTAAATATGCAATTAATGTGCAATTAAAAGTACTCATTCAATTTTTCCATGCCAACTTTTCGGTGCTGGCTTTTTCGAATATTTTGTTCAGGTCCTTGTACCATTATAGTGACTCACTCGTGTAGCTTACTTGTTCATCGTTTGAATTAAATAATCGTCTTCATAGTCGTTCATTTTTAAATGTAATGTTAAACTTTAAGTATGTACAATATATTTTTAAGAAAAATTATAATCTAATCATTAAGGAATCTTTACGTAAAAAATACAAACTTTCGTTTTATATACGGCTGATAATTTTTTATTTGTAATATATTGATTGATATCAATGATATCTATTATAAAAAAAAAACAAATAGCAATTTTACGATATAAGATAAAAATAATTGAAATAGTTCGATATCTTGTTTAACATTCAACAATATGTTGAAAAATCGATATTTAATCTAATTTAACGTATCTATGACACGATACGTTTAAATTTACAACCTAAAGAAAAATTCTAATAAATATTAACAGATGTATATAAACGAAAAAAAAAAAGAAAAACAAAAATACAAATAAATACGTATGAAGAAACGTTACAGTTTGATAATCGTGTTACGGTAAGGGCTTTTTAACGATGAAGGTTAAAACGTTGTCTACACTCTCTCGTCTTAAAGTGGTCATGCGTTACATTGCAATGCATTGATTGCATAAATGCACGGAACGGAACAGTATAGTCTGTATTGAAATAAAGGATGAATGGATTTTCCTAACTGATTATTATCTTACTAAAGTTATTCACGAAAAGTATTAATATAATTAAATTCATTCGCGTTCATATATTTCAACGTATTATTCGTTAATATCTGAATAACGTTGATAATTATTATCTATCATTATAACGATAATTTATGATACTAGATAAAAAATATTATTATTATTATNTATCTATCATTATAACGATAATTTATGATACTAGATAAAAAATATTATTATTATTATTATATTTCGTATATGTGCTTTTTATCTTATGATAATAATAAAAAAAAAAAAAAAAACAAGAATATATACATATGCAAACGTTCTAAACTTACCCCACATTCGTTAGATTAGATTATACATGAAGAAAATATATTCTTTTAAAACGCGTCAAATAGAAAAGTAAATAAATAAAAAATATATAAATGAGACGACTGAGTTAGATGAACGAAGTGTTTAGTGTGACATCGATTTCTCCAGATGATCTCATTAATTTCTCATGTCATCGAGTAGTCGACTGTCACCGGTAATTATCATCACCACCATCACCACCATTACACTAACTTTCTTTGAAAATATATCAAATCAATAACACCATCACTAATACGTCATTTGATATGATTTAACAATTGATACGACCTATTTACAATCTAACAAGATTAACAAATTATTTTTCATTACTACTCCAATTAAATAAATTAATATTAATATTGATATGTATGTGCATATATATATATATATATATAACAATACACAGGATAGACACAGAAATTCGTTTAGTATAAAATAAAACTATTACGAATACCTCGAATGAAATCAATCAATTAGGGTAAATCGTGTCAAAAGGGGGGGAAAAGAAAAAAATAAACAAAAAAATTATGCAAACCACGAACGACCTATTACAATCTAACAAGATTCGCTAATATTTTTCATCACTCCTCCAATTAAATAAATTAATATTAATATTGATATATGTATGCATATATATACATATATATATATATATATATAAAAATACACAAATAGAAATTCGTTTAGTATAAAATAAAATTATTACGAACACCAGGAATGAAATCAATCAATTAGGGTAAATCATGTCAAAAATTGGGAAAGTGAGAGAGAGGAAAAAAAAAATATAAAGAAAAAAAAAAGAATTACGCGAATCACGAAGGATTAAAAACAAAAACGTCAACGAGCAATAACAACAATAATTAATGGTACGAAGTTACAACGACGAAGTTCCGTTGCAGACTGAGGAATAAAATGTGCGCGAGAACGTCGACGTACTCGACGTGGTTCGTAGCCGACGTAGAAGTTGTCGTCGTAGTCGTCGACGTTGCTGTTTCGATACTGCGCTGGTCGATACTCGCGAGAATGATGATGGCCCACCACGATCATCCCCAACCAACCCCAATGTTTTTTTATTTCCTTCCATTCGTTCCGTTTCCAACCAATAAATACAACTCAATGTGTATTCTTTCTTCTTCTTCTTATTCTACTATTTTATTTTTGTTTTGTTTGTTTGTTTGTTTAATTTTGTTCTTTTTACCGTTTGTTTTTTTCGTCTCGTTAATTAATTAAAAGGAAATTTTTTCGTGGTTTTCTTAAATCATAATTATCATTTCACATTTACAATCGTTTTAATTTAGATTAAAGTCACATGTGCATAATTATTATTTTCGGTACTTTTTTACATGTTGTTTTTTTTATCTATTTTTGTTTTTTCTTTTCTTTTATTTTTGTATCTTTTAATAATTATT